TTCACTCGTGGCATAGCTAGTGTGGTTATGTATATATAGATTCACTTCATGTATATACGTATATATACAGTGTCACTCGTGACAAAGCTAGTGTGGTTGTGTATATATAGATTCACTTCAAATGACCTACAGGTGTGTGCTGTGTGTAACATAGTGTCGCCAGTACAGTAGAGGGATACTGTCGCAATTATATTACACAAGTGTGCTGGCGTATATACAAATCACACTCTACATGACATACGGTGTGTGTATAAGTGTATATACAAATCACACTCTAAATGACATACGGTGTGTGCTGTGTATAAGTGTATATACAAATCACACTCTACATGACATATTGTATACGTGTGTATACAAATCATACTCTGCATGACATTGTATAAGAGTGTACACAAATCACACTCTACATGACTTACGGTGTGTGCCGTGTGCAAGATAGTGTCGCCAGTAGAGTAGAGCAATACCGCCACAATTACATAGTCTCTAAAAGAGAATGGACGAACCGACAATCATGGTTGTACATATGCATAGGTATATTGCGCTGGTACCCTACACACGCGCCCTGACGATTGGCTGTGCTCATATATATTGCGACTACGATGTGATAGGGCAGACATCCGATGTGCGAGCATCATATTTCAACTGCAGGAACGCCATTGAGTGATTTCGTTGTAACGTCATTCAGTGAATTTGGTGTACAATATAATCTGCCTTTGTATTGGGGAGTGTTACACGCGTATAAGAACGCCATTGAGTGCATTTACTATATCGTCCTTCAGTTATTTTGATGTATAATATAATCTGCCTTTGTATTGGGGAGTGTTGCACGTGTGGCATCGGTTATGGTTGATACAGTTCCTGTTCTTCCGTGCGCTGTGGGGCTTCTTGTAACCGTCAACCTACCGGCAGAGAGATGAATAGTGCGCCCCTAACTCGTGTACTACAGAAAACTTGTACCTAAGAATCTACCTACCTATACTACTTGTATAGTCACTACATAGCACGAGACATGGTAGTGGAGTACAGGGTGCTGGTTGATCTCAAACTTATACCTAGGAATCCACCTACCTATACTGCATGTATTGTCACTACACAGCACGAGATATGGTAGTGGAATACAAGGTACTGGTTGATCTCAAACTTATACCTATGAATCTACCTACCTATAATACAGGTATTGTCACTACACAGCACGAGATATGGTAGTGGAGTACAAGGTGCTGGTTGATCTCAAACTTATACCTATGAATCTACCTACTTATACTACATGTATTGTCAATACGCAGCTCGAGTTATGGTAGTGGAGTACAAGGTGCTGGTTGATCTCAATCTTATACCTG